AGGATCTCTTGGTATCCTCATCATATACACTAGGGATCTCTTGGTATCCTGAGGATCTCTTGGTATCCTCATCATATACACTAGGGATCTCTTGGTATCCCGAGGATCTCTTGGTATCCTCAATAAGTAAGCCGGGGATCTCTTGGTATCCCAGTATATATATAGAAACACATGTGCCAGGGATCTCTTGGTATCCCGCACCCTCAGTCCAGAATATCTCAAGTACAGGGGGATCTCCCGGGAAGCCGTCCCGTAGTCCCAAATTAAACACACAACAACAAACAACTCATAATCTCAGAATAATGCTAAAAGATCAGGACAAGAAATAGTAAATTCTAGCCTAACATGCTCCACAGAGTACAAATAGCACAGCTAAACAGTTAGCAAGTAAGCCAGATAAACATGAGTCTCTAAGCTAGCACAGGTATAAACTTACAGTTTAAAATGAACAAGTAAACATGAAATCTCAATTTAAATACTTCAAGTAGAAACGGGTTCACAACAATTAGCTCAAGTACGCGCTCGTCACCTCACGTACGAGGCATTCAAATATTCAAAGATCATGTCCTAAAGGGAAAAGTCCCCCACACAAGGTTAGACAAGCCACTTACCTCGAACCGGCTCAATATCAACTAGAAACCACGCTCTTGCCACGAGTATCCGGCTCCAAATGGCTCAATCTATTCAATTCAATTACACATCGTAAATAACATCGCAAACACCTGGTTTTGCTAATAAATTCAAAGCTACAGCGTAAAATTAGGTGAAATGACCAAAATGCCCTTCAGGCCAACGTCTCGGAATCGAATAATTTTTCACATTTTTAGAACCCTCGTACTCTCACGAGTCTAACCATATAAAAATCTCCCAAATCGGAGGTCAAATGCCCACTCAAAACTCAATAGTTTAGGCAATGAAGTTTTACCCCAAATTATCCAATTTTTTATCCTAAATTCGAATTCCAATGATGTATTTAACTATATAATGATGAAATATAACAAAAAGGGACCAAAGAAACGTTACCCAGTGATCTTCTCTTCGAAACCCACTCAAAATCGCCTAAAACCGAGCTCTCAATAGATTTCTCCAACTTATGAAATTAAAACCCTCGAATTTCTATATCTGTACAGTGAATGCCGCTTCTGCGGTCTAGGGACCGCTTTTGCGGTCCCGCCTATGCGAAACACTGGCCGCTTCTGCGGCTTCTTTTAAAAGGTCAGACCTCCGCTTCTGCGGATAAATAACCACTTCTGCGGTTCCTGAGGGGGGGACCAAACTCGCTTCTGCGATGAGCGAGCCGCTTCTGCAGCTCCGCTTCTGCGGTTCCCAAGCCGTAGAAGCGAAAATACCAGAAGGAACAAAATACCAGCTGCTGCAAACTTAGAAATTTTCCTCCGTTAACCACCTGGAATCATCCCGAGGCCCCCGGGACCTCAACCAAAAGCACCAATACCACCTAATACCTTATTCAAACTTGTAACAATCTTGAAAACACCTAAAACAACGCCGGAAACCCGAATTAATCAAAGATTCAAGCCTAAGAACTTCAAATTCCTTCCAAATACGATTTCGATCAAAAACCTAACCAAAACACGTCCAAATGACCTGAAATTTTGCACGCACATCCCAAATGACATGACGGAGCTACTGCAACTTCCGGAATTCCAATCCCACCCTCGAATCAAAAACTCACTATCGGACCGGAAACTTCAAAAATTCAAACTTCGGCATTTCAAGTCTAAATGAGCTACAGACTTCCAAAATACATTCCGAACACGCTCCCGACCCCGAAATCACCTAACGGAGCTAACGGAACCATCGGATTTC